TGGTTGACCAAATGCTGGCTAAACAGGTGCAAGTAGCACAGGAACAGGAGGATAATAAGACTGGGACACAAAGACGATAAATTTTTTGGAAAGGAGGGGATGATCACACCGAGGATCACACCAAACTTTAAAATCAGACAATCAAAGGAATCCGTAGATCGCCTGTATGTAGGGAAGATCTCGGGATCCCAATACATATCTTACTTCACGGAAGGGTTAGCTACCTCGGGCAACTACGGTATCCAACAGTTGTGTTCTACAGGCGTCATTACCCGGGCAATGCCAAACTACGTGATCGATGTCATCATAACCGGTACTGCACCTACATATATTGCTGTCGACGAGATTTATTCTGTAGAGATGTGCGTCTCGCGAGTAGCATCACCCAAATGAAGTCCTGACTAACATGCAGACCTTTGAACCACCCTCTCCAAGAAACAATTAGATAATGGAATGTAACCACCACCCAAAATAATTACTTATCCAATCGATTTGCCAACTTAGGGCCGATTTCTTCACCTCCGCTTAAGCCTTAAACCAGGTTTAACTATATGGGTAAGCTTGGTTTAAGATTTAAGCGGGGGTGAAGAAAACGGCCCTTAGAAGAGCAATCTGACGTAGTAATGGGAAAAAATAATCATGTGAAATTCTTCTGTCATATATCTCCTTTGCTAGAGAGTCCACTAAATGATCTTTCGACCAACGCACACATCTGCTCCCTTGTTTTTGTAAGGAAGTAAGATGAGCGCCTCTCAAGGGGTGGATCACTCCGCACACCAATTTTGGGTCATTTTTTTTTTGTCAGTGTGCCGCAGGTGTGCCGATTGTGCCGGTCATAGAGCAAGCTGCAATTGTTTGTAAAATACCGGTATTTCTGACACCTTGAATGTTTTAGTTTGAAATTGCAAGGATAAATCAGATTGAGGATGGCGCGGGAAGTGGCGGGTGTGCCAAATTTGGGTGTTTTGTGTTCATAGAATAATAAAAGTCCTGTGTTTAAGGGTTTTATAATGCCCTTAAAGGCAGACCAGAAACCTAGCTTTTCGCGATGTGAAAAGCAACGGTCTATCAGCGGCCGGAAAGAGTTGAAACCGGTGGGGAACATTGTTGGAGATCGACTATAGAGGATGATGAATAGACTTCTGTAGTTTGTTTTGCATGAATTGCTGCATTATTTAAATTAAGGATTCATGGGGTCTGATTAACTGCCTCTTTCTCTTGAGCCAACTCTAGACCCTTCATTTCTTTTTTAGATCTATAAGTGACCTGCTGGTTTGAGTTCCTCTGGTATATTCAATTAGAGGATGTTCCTGAAAATACAGTCAAACAGCACGTAATGTTGTGAACAAATTCAATGACAGTTGTCCAGCAGTGCTCCCATTTTATTTACAACAATCCAATGCCTACGAGATTGTGCCGAATGTGTGCCGAAGGTATGCTGAAGGTGTGCCGATGGATGTGCCCAAGTTGTGCCAAATCTGATTTTGCCGCAATGTGCTGAGTGACTTACCCCTTGGCCTGTGCAAAAATTATAAACAATTAAGAAGATTCAGAGGTTTATATAGAGATTTTGGCGAATGTGGGAAATTATTGAATTTCACTTATATCGCTTTAACTTTAGTTTAAACTGCCCAAACGTTGAAAAAAATAGTATGTTGTTGCCATGACAATGACTTTTTGTTGTTGTTGTTGTGAAGTTGTGATAAGATTGGTGTTTTTGTCTGGTGAATGGGTAGGTCACTCCACACACCAATCTTGGGTGAACTTTCTTCTCAGTGTGCCGCAGGTGCACCACAGGTGTGCTGCAGGTGTGCCACATGTTTGCCGCAGGTGTTCCACTGGTATGCCGCTGGTATGCCGCAGGTATGCCACAGGTGTGCCGCAAGTGTGCCGATTGTGCTGATCATAGAGCAAGCTGCGATTTTTTTTTTAAATATGAATATTATGGTATATTCTAACAGTTTTACTATTTTTGTTTGCAATCGCAAGGATAACATCGGTCTAGCGACAACCAAGGTGCAATCCTGGCGAGATGAACCGTGAGGACAGGGCACAACATTGCTCAAAAAGCAATGGTGATCATTCTAGTGCCGTGTACTGAAATCCAAAGCGTGAAAATTGGAAAGGGTTTTCGACGGATAATCCGCATTTTCCGCATTTGAGCGGGAAAACTCTGACCTCGGCATTTCCAGTTTCCACCGAACCACACTAGACGAGAAAATTGTAATTATTGTGTCCGTGAAGAAGATCCCAAGCGGACCGAAACGATGGACAAAAAATAAAATAGCAATTGTCAAGGTTAAATTTGTATGCACCTTCTCGACAATTACGCAATCGACAGTTGTTCGCAGTAGATCGCCATCGAACCAATTACGCTAAATTTGGACCGGTAAATCAGATGATGACTGTTTATAATCATCATTGTGAAATGATTGACCTAAATATGCCCTAAACAGAATTAAAAATATATTTCAGAACCCTGCGAAGTCATAGAACATAAGTCCTAATGTTAATATGTAGTCTACGATTTGATTGATTGACGAATAAATAAATAAATAGGGGAATTTACGTATTCTCGGCAACCTAAGCAGCGACCTTCTTTCTATAGCCTTTTTCTCTAAGGAACGCACACATATGCAGTATTGGTTTGTTTACAACTTTTGCTGCCAGCTGCTTTAACAATTTCAGTCGAAAAAATTGTCAAAAACAGTTTTGAAACGCTTTTACAAAGCTCCAATCTTCTCTAGTGAGAGCGAGTATTGTCGGCAACCAGTTTTTCTTCGGCAACCGTTCCATTTGAACTGCATGTAAATCTGCTGTTCTATTATCGGCAACTCGAAATCAGCTACAATTTGTAGTGCGTGTGTTTCATTTCAAGAAAACCTTGCTAGATGGCTTTTTCTCAGTGGTAAAAATATAGTAAAATTGAAGCTGAAAGCATAAAGAATCGTTTGCATGCATTCAGCGAAGTTTTTTCGGAAGAAAATCCAGTGAAAATAGTGTTTCAATTTGGGTTGCCGAAAATAGTCTGGCATGCCAAAGCCGTCATTTCCCCTAAATAAATAACTAAATTTTGATTTTTTCGAGACTGAAAAGCCATTCACAACACACATCAATTCCCAGTCGAACCATACCAAATACAAATTTCAAACCATTTGCACGACATCTAAACCTTCATCAACCTCTTCGATTTTTTACACAGACTCATATTTTGGGATAAAGAATCAAACAACACTCAAGTCTTTTTTATACAGTTTTTTGTGGTTTTTTACACGGTTTTTTTTAACAATGGTTGGTGCCGCTGAACCGTAATTTACACGGTATGTTTTTAACGATTTCTCGATAACGATGCAACCAATCGATTTGATTCGAATCACATTATCCGTTTCAATTCATAGGTAATCGAATAGCATACTTAAAAAAATCGCAAATTTTGGTGTAAATACAGAAATTATGAAAAAATTTCTATATGGAACATCTTGCATGCTATAACTAGGATTGGCAACAAAATCCAATTTTTTAAAAAATTATTTTAGCAAGTGAAAAATCAAAATGTTGGTAGGTTTTTTCGCATGTTTTTTTACAGGGGGTGTAGATTAGAAGGGTGACCTTTAAGAAATCTATCACTTGTTTCAAATTGAAGCACCTTAATACACACTGCACGTCTCTTTCGATTTGGACGTGCAAACACACTATGGGTTATGGGTTCACTCGTCTGTGCTGTGTGCTATAATTCATGACAAAGTACAGCTACAGCATGTTGAAGACAGATAAAAGGTTTCAGTTCGGTAGTAAAAACCAATGAAGGAGAAAAACAAGTATATAACGTTCCGGAACCGACAGCCAAACTGAACATCTTGCTCGTTTCTGTAAATAGTATACAAATAACCTAATCCGAAAATACTCATCACACATAAAAAAGCACTTTCCTGATTCCCACAATCACCATTTACAATCCACAATCCAATTCTCTGCCATAAAGAAAAACCGAGCTCTACCCAAAAAAAAAACCCCACCGCTAAAGCTAAATAAATTACCACCCCCCGAGAAAATCATCCCTCTCATCATCCATTTAGCTTTACCACCACAATAACAAAAATCATTTATACTTAGCGAAATTGTTATCTTATACCATTTTCTCCATTCCATCTTCTTCCGACGTCGTCGTCGTTCCGGTCTTGGCGCCTGAGGCTTCCCCATGTCGCTGCTGTCTGGCAGCCAGGCAAAGCCAACGGTTCTTCCTTTCCTTCCATCATCGGAGGAAGAGATTGGCTTTCTTCCAAGGCGCATGTGCACTCAAACAAAATGGTGTTCTCCACCCAACCCGAACGCTACAATACACAATAGCATCGACAGGAATATAAAACCCATACCAAGCTACCGCAACGGGTGACGTTGCCCGAAGATGGGGCTCTTAGAGGGTGGGTAATCAGAGATGGAGAAAAGAAATAAAAAATAAGCGCAGAAATGTGTATATAAAATTTAGAACTCAATCAGCCAATTTGAAACAGCTCTCCAGCAAATTGGGTGGGTCGGCCCCGTTGAACGTTTCTACGAATTCGGTAGACACCGACGGGGCGAAATTTGTTGGGGAAGGGGAGTGATTTCGAAGAAAACGAATGGGAAGTCGAAAAATTCAATTTAGCTCGTTATTTAAGCTCTTGATTTTTCTCCTCCTATCCGGAGATCCACAGAGGGGGCTTCAACACATCGGAACGCATTTGCTTACTTCAAGCAATTCAAGTTGGTGGTGTTTACTGGTCGACGGCAGGGACTGAAGTTTGTTAGTAAATAGGTCTGCAGAAAATACAATCAATAGCTCAGTATTTGAACCAGGCTTTTGGAAATTTACACTCTAGGTCGCAAAGATCTGAAAATCCTATAATCTGCCGAGGCAACTACACTTCGGCAATGTAATATATTCGAATACGCACGGCACGGGTTTCAAGTCAATTTGTAGCGAAATTGAATTTTTCTCCTCTCCTTTCTCTTGATTGCAGGTCTGGTTCCAGAATCGACGGGCCAAATGGCGCAAAGCCGAACGGCTAAAGGAGGAACAGCGGAAGCGAGGAGATGGTTCCGATCCACAGTTATTGAATGATAAGGTAAATTGAACTGGCTACCAAATTATCCTCCTGGGGGGCGAAACCGGAAAGACCTTCCGTAATGGGATTTTGAGAATCTTTTTTTCTTTTTTTTATTAACCATTCGATTTTTTTGTCTTTTTCTTTGTTCATGCTCTTGGTCAATTAGTTAGAAACCGATAGTCGTGATTCGAGTCCGGATATAACGGGCGATGCGGACGATGACGATATGCGTAGCTCGAGTGCACCTCCGATGAGCCCGAGGGTGGATTCCGAGCCGGATAGGCCTCATTCCAGCACTCAAATGCACTCGATAACGCAATCCGGATCGAATAGTGCAGGGACACCGTCACCGGGATTGAAGTAAGTACTCCATAGGAACCTTTCCCTAGTCCTAATGGGAAGCAGACTAATATTATCTACAAAACGTAAGAAAATTTTATACAATAAGTAAGTAAACCAATTTCTTCTCATGTTTCACGATCAGTAGTAAAAAAAATGCGATCTGTTAGGCCTAAAAGAGTAAATCTCATCAGTTTCTTTCCATCTCATATTTATTATAAATTTTATTTTGATGAATAGTGATCCGTGTACGGAATATAAATAAAGCGGTGAACAGACGGGGAAACAAGTCACGCTATAATTCTTTCCGGAAACTTTTTTGTATGGGCAAAAAAGTTTCTCGTGGTAACGGGTCTGAGGGATCCCATTTTGAATATTTTTCGGAAACATTATTATAGCTTTATCGTCATGGTATAAGCGATTTTCTGAGGCATGGTTGAAGTTACAACCTATGTTCACTAGGGTAGGTGTACCAGTTATAACTATACGTTCCTATTATGGTGTGTTCCAATTATGACCTAAGGGAATTCCATAGGCCATAACTGGAACACACCATAATAGGAACGTATGGCCATAACTGGTACACCTACCCTACTGGTATACTATTTCAACTTACACTAATGATCGGAGTAATTATCAACTAGCAGATAACTAGTTACGTAAATTCCAGAAAACCTTTTTTTATCGTTTGTATACATCAACGTAAATATTCAAACAATATGTTTCAAAAATCAGAATTACTAGGTATTTAATTTCCGTCATACTCAGCACAACCCACACTTTACCTTTCTCGATGATACGATGATCATACGATGAGTCTCGAAGTGTTGGCGGGCATGTTGCCACTCTCGAATCGATTTTCGGAATTGTCCCTCAGACTCCTCACCCGGGGTGAAATTATGAACCCACTGGTGATTGAAAACTTTGAAAAGCTTCTTGAGGTAAACCCTCAAACTCGTTTTATGTCATTGAGCAGTTCCACACAGACTCGCAAATCGTTTCGGATCGATCTTCTACGATTATGATGAAGCTTTGCACAGTTGTTTGTTATTGCCCAACATGCCATTTTACATATATGGTTCCCTAGTTTTGCACACGACTAACACTTGAAAAGGGCTTATGCAAAAATGATACGCATCAATAGAAAAATATATATCTCGTGAACGATTTGTTTGATCGAGATGGTGTCTTGGGCGAAGTTGCGGAAAAGTATTGTGCCTTTCAAGAAAAAATATACACTGGAAAAGTTAATTTTTTTTACACAAAAAAAATCAAAATTATCAATTATATCTTAACTCATGCGTATGAATTAAAAAACTGTGAACAGCAAAGTTTAAGGAATTTAACTGGGCTTTTTGTGAAAAATACTTTCAAGATTGAACACTCACGAATAACATCTCAAAAGAGCGAAAATTCCTCAAATTATGCGAAAAGTGAATGTTAACCTACGAGTATCTCGAAAACAACAACTTCGGGCAATTTAAGCATTATGAGCTTTTTTTGTTGTAAACTTATTGTGTTTTAATATTAACACTATTTCAAAGATATTCGATAACTATCGGTAGTATTTTGGGAAAAAAATATTTTTTTAATAATTCATAACTTTTTTATTTATGATTTGCCCAGCAAACGCACAGTGTCAGTAGGTAATAGTTTACCTAAACTACAAAATAAATATAAAAAAAATATGCAATTTGAGTAATTTTTTTTTTTTTAGATTATTTTGATTTTTTTTTTTTTTTTTTTTTTTTTTAATACAGTGTTTATTTTTTTCTTGAAAGGCACAATACTTGTCCGCAACTTCTTCTACGACACCATCTCAATCAAACAAATCGTTCGCAAGATATATGTTTTTCTATTGATGCGTATCATTTTTGCATAAGCCCTTTTCAAGTGTTAGTCGTAACGGCGCCGGTGGTGTAGTGGTAAGCGTGATTACCTCTCACCCTAGCAGGCCTGGATTCAATCCCAGTCGACGCCGCCGGGATGTTCTGAGGCATAACATCTCTGATCACGCCTTCCTTCGGATGGGAAGTAAAGCCGTTGGTCCCCGGTTCATGAGTTGATGGGTCGATAGGTAGGGTCCAGGTGTGGGAGCTGCCTTCCTGGCACGTCGGTAGCATTGGTGCTCAGCACGGAAAACAAGACCGACGGAAAAAACAAACCAAAGGAAAAAAAAAAAGTGTTAGTCGTGTACAAAACTAGGGAACCAAATATGTAAAATGGCATGTTGGACAATAACAAACAACCGTGCAAAGTTTCAACATAATCGTAGAAGGCGTTCAAAAAATTAAAAAAAAAATCGTTATTTGAAATGGAACTGCTGCATTGTACTACCTTCGCAGTATAATCCCTATCGTGTTTGCTTCTCCGACTTCGGAGTTCTGTTCATTTTGAGTTATCCTTGACGCGGGACATTCGTGAGATCCCAGAATATCATCGTTCCGTGATTGTTCCGTCAATTTATGCTGCAAAGTTTGGCCAAGTTGTTTCCGCAAGATCGTTCTTCACAGATGGATCAATAATAGAGGCGTCCGCTGGGTTTTGTATATATAACAAATTTCATAGCGCCTCTCGAATGCTACAAGTTCCTTGTTCCTTATATGTTGCTGAGCTGGCGGCAATACATTACACGTAGAAACTATCGCCTCACTTGCACCAGATCATTATTTTATTTTTACGAATAGTCTCAGTCCTGTCGAGGCTATTCGCATCATGAGACCGGTAAAGCACTCCTCGTATTTTCTTACGAAAATACGAGAGCATCCAAGTGCTTCATCTTTAAGATCTTTTGTCATCACCTTTGCGTGGATCCTATCTCATTGCTCGATTCCGGGCAATGAAAAAGCGGACTCAGGTCGAGGGGGATCGAGACTTCATTCGGGTGATGTCTCGCCTCATGTCCAAGCACTATTTGTCAAACGCTCATTGTTACATGTTAGGCTGGGGGACAGCAATCTCTGTGATTGTGGACAAGGTTACTGTTAGATAGCAACCGACTGGTGGTGCATAGCAGCTTGTATTAACAAATTCTAGTAGCCTTAGAATTAGAATGAATAAAAAAAATCTTCATTTGCACTGTAACATTTAACAAACCCGGACCTGTTTTGACGTAAGATTACGTCTTTCGGCAATATATTGAAAAAAACCAAAATCGACCACGTTACGAAAAGTGTTCAGACTTTGACCACTTATAACTCTGTCAATAGCGAATGGATTTTAATTCTAAACAAACCAATCGACTGAAATTTTTTCTACAAATCTGATAAAATGAAAACTTTATCAATTTTCAATAGGTCACTATTGAAAATTACACAAATGTCCAACCGCTGCAATGGTGATCAAAATTATCATCGATTGCCTACAAAAAGCGGTTTCCCTAACACAGTCACCGAATATTGATATCGAGCACGTAATACTACGTCAAAACTACGGTCGTGTCTTGGATACAATCTCTTACTTTTTATTACCTCTGCCTATGTAATAGGTTATGGACCCAGAACAGAAAGAAAGTAGTTAAGTTTTTCTTTTAATCTGAAGAAAGAAGCAGCCATCAAGATGTCGGAGGAAAAGGTCTGGTTGTTCGACGGAAGCAATTTGGGAAATTGGAAATTTCGGATCGATGTCTTGATGGAAGATCGGAACATGCTTGGCTGCCTGACAAAGGCCATCGACGAAGAAGAGTATGCGAGGGATCGCGCGGTGGATACTGCAGAAGTACGTGCTCAGAAGAAGAAGCTGCTCGAAGAACGGTGGGCTTTGGACAGAAAATGCAAGAATGTTCTGATTCTTCGGAGCTCGGAGGATCAGCTGGAATACGTCAAGGACAAGAAGACGGCCCTGGAGACGATACAGCCACTACAGCTGACATTGGAATACGTAAAGAAGCGGCTTTAGCAGGTGAAGCGAGTAAATTCAAGTCCTGCAAGCGATGCGGAAGATTCGGCATTTGCTGTTAAGAAGACTGGCATTAAATGCTTTGGCTGCGGAAATTTCGGGCACAAGCGAGCTGAGTGTCCAAAAAATCGTCCCACGGAAGAATCTGGACCACCACGGTGCCAAAAAAAATGGAGGAAAATGTCATGGAAAACAGAAGTTTGGAGCAAACGTTGCCGAGGAAATTGAAATGACGTTCGTTGCTACGGCGACGAAGGAATTTTTATCCATTGCTATGATATCCGAAAGGCGTATCGTCTGGATTCTTGATTCTGGTGCGACGGACCGTATGGTAAGGAGCAAAGCTTTCTTTGAAGCCTTGCATCCGTTGGTCAAGAAGGTGTGTAAGGCGGTGGCTAAATCTGGCTAAATCTGTAGTTGCAATAGGTAGAAGGGCTGGTAAACTGTACAAGTTGGACATTGAGCTGCGTGAAGTGTCTAACTCGGCGACTGGTGGTTCGTTCGAAACAGGATATCTTCAGTTTGTGGCATCAACGATTTGGTCACTTTGGAACGGCGAGTATGAAGGCTCTATGAAAGCATGGAATGGTGGAAACGACGACGAAAATCTCGAATTGGCCAGAACAATGTGTTTGCACACTTGCAAGGGAAGCAAACAAGACAACCGTTTGACGACGTTAAAGAGCGACGTGCCTCTCGTCCGTTGGAAATCATTCATTCGGACGTGTGTGGCCCGTTCACGCCGGGAACGAGGGACAATAAGCGATGCTTTGTCAGGTTCATTGACGACTTTAGTCATTTCACGATCGTCTATCTTCTGCAGTCTAAGGATGAGGTGCAATCAAGGGGGGGAGGTGGCTGTCAAATACGAACAATCGTCGCCTACCTCGGATAACTGGTTCCAAACGTAAACAAGCCATAAGAAACCTACAGCGTTTGTTTACGTTTGGAACCAGTTTCATACAAGATGATCAGTAGGCTGATTTGACAGCACGTCCCCCCCCAGGGTGCAATCAAAGTTTGAGGACGGCGTTCTGTGGCACTCGAGTGTCTCGACTAAGGTGCGACAACGGAGGCGAGTATACCGGAATATTGTTCCGTAAGTGGCACCGGTGGTGTAGTGGTAAGCGTGATTACCTCTCGCCCCAGCAGGCCTGGGTTCAATCCCAGTAGGCGCCACCGGGATGTTCTGAGCATAACATCTCTGATCACGCCTTCCTTCGGAAGGGAAGTAAAGTCGTTGGTCCCCGGTTCATGAGTTGATGGGTCGATAGGTAGGTTCCAGGTGTGGGAGCTGCCTCCCTGGCGTCGGTAGCATTGGTGCTCAGCACGGAAAACAAAACATGGAAAACACGAGGCTGGACTGAACAAATCCATGTGGGGCGAGGTGATGTTGACTGCTGCGTACGTGTGCAACCGGAGCCCTACATCAGCGTCTGTTGTCTGATGAAATCTCTGTACGGATTGAAGCAGGCACCACAAAGCTGGAACTCAGAGTTTCATAACTTTGTTCTTCAGCTTGGCTTCAAACGTTCCAATCTGGATAGCTGCCTTTACTGGTGGAGAGAGGAGACAAATGTGGTCTATCTCCTGCTGTATGTGGACGACATTATTTTGGTATCGAACCGTCTGGATATTATTGCTGAAATGAAGAAGAGGTTATCAGCATGAATTGAGATGCTGAAGTCGGTGAGTTGAAGATGTTTTTGGCCCTCAAGATAGATCGAGATCAAGCAAAGGGAACGATGAAGATCAGTCAACCGAAATATATTAGTGACCTTCTTCGGCGTTTCGGTATGACGGACAGCAAACCTACAACGGCGCCGCTAGAACCAAACCTCAAGCTAGAACGACGCGATAGTGAATCTGTGACTACCGAACCGTACCGTGAGCTGATAGGGTGCTTGACGTACCTGGCGCTTTCATAGAGGCCGGATATTAGTGCTGCTGTTAATTTCTTCAGCAGATACCAATCCGCACCCACAAGCTCAGGAGCCGCATGACCATAAAAGGATGAAGCATGTGGACATCCGCTATAAGTTCATTCGAGAGAAGTTGCAAGACGGTACGTTCAAGATGACCAGCTGGCAGACTTATTCACCAAAGAACTGGCACGTGGTCCTTTCGAGACACTGAGAACTAAATTTCGGTTGGGATGTTAGATAGCAACCGACTGATGGTGCATAGCAACTTGTATTAACAAATCCTAGTAGCCTTAGAATTAGAATGAATACAAAATTTCTTCACTTCCACTGTAACACTTAACAAACCCGGACCTGTTTTTATAACCTCTGCCTATCTAATAGTTCACCAGGACGTAGATCATATTATTTAGTCATGTACTGAGCATCGTGGAGTCAGAGCTGAGCTGAATGATTCCCTTAGGGAGGTAGACAACCTAATGTTTCAGTTCGGGATGTTTTGGCTGGACGCGATCTGGAGTTTATGAAACTCATATATGTTTTCTTGAAGAATATTAACCTTAGATTGTAAGTTTGATTAACCTTGGGTTTAGTTTCTATATTGTGTGTGTGTGGTTTTTTAATGGTTGTTTTCTAATAATAGTATAATTACACTGCTGATATCAAGTTGAATAGGATTAAGGATTTCCAGCCAACTATGAAAATCTCAAACTTCGCGTTGAAGTAACATAAAAATACTTTGAATGAAATTAAGTAAATGTTTTAGAAATAGTAAAAATTGTGTATTATAAGTCATTCTTCAAATCTCTTTCTCCCTCTTCACATCCATAAAATTGTCATCTACTAACCTCGAGAAGACGGCGAGTATTCGGTTGAATACCTTTAACTTTAGATTTAAGACATTAATAATATATAACGGAAATGATAATTTGGCTCTGTAAAGTTTATTCGATTGAGCCTGTACAAATAATTTAACTAACTAAAAAATATCTATACATATAAAAATGAATTTCTGTCTGTCTATCTGATCCTTATAGACTCGGAAACTACTGAACCGATCGACGTGTATGCAGGGGTTTTTGGGACTGGGAAAGGTTCTTATGATGGTTCTAGACCCCTCACCCCGCTTTAAGGGGGGGGGCTTAGTTTATTAACGTATCTTTAAACTGTTCCCCTGGTAGAGGAGAATTTAGTTCATTCGAGATGGAGGGGGAGGGAGGGGCTCACATACAAATGAAACAGAAAAATATAGCATGCTTTTTTGAATCAGCGCATATTTGAATCCCGAGCAAGGCGAGGACTCACCTAGTATAATATAAATTTAAATTTCCCGGGTGAATGTGCCAAAAGTAGACCAGCGGAATAATCTTCAATTTTTCCAATGTTTCCCTACTTTTCCAGATACGCTCAACAGCCTGAGCTAAGTCCAACGCCCTCAGCTTCAGCCGATTCGCCCATCGAAGTCGGAGGACCCATTTCGCTGACAACTTCAACGCGTGCTTCAACGGAGGATTCCAGTCCACTTCCAGCGACCAGCAATTCCTCCAACGGTTTATGCTCCGTCACATCCAGCAATAGCACGCCCAGCTTTAGCAGTCATCTCTTCAGCAGTTTCAGCGAGAGGTAGGCTCCTTTTACTTTCCCCTATCCCCTCATGCTCAATACGATGCTGCCTTTTCCGGTCTATTCAAATGTCCGTAAAGTGCCATCTCCGCTCGGGATAATAAATCTTCCCCGGCTGACATCATCTATGTCACTCTCTCTCTCTCAAGGATATCCTTATGTTTGTGTATGCAAAAATCCGTTAATTGAGATATCTCCTAGCAATTCACGCCGATCACGCTCCTGGCTCCTGATCTCGATGAAAATAACGCAATTACAAACATCGGCACGTGGCGATTTTGTTTCGCTCCAAATGACGACGATGATACTTGTTCTAATACGAAAACAATCGGAAGGCTCAAGATTCCCCCTACATTTCGGCAGTTGACTTCTATTGCGAGAACCTTGGCATCATCGGCAGGAGGGCGTCAGTGTTGTCGTGTGCGGCCGGCAGGCCTTTTGTTGTCCACCGTCGTCCTCCTCCTTCTCTTGCTGCTGGGTTTGGATGATCGCTTCCTCCTTTGTTGTGACTTTCACGCACTTTTAACGGCAGCAAAGCATGCGAAAATATTGTCCTTAATTGCTGCCACTTCCCAGCACCCCTGCCGAGATGGGTGAATGGTAAAATAATATTGGGGTTGTTTTGGGCTGAGATGTCATTCTTAATAGTTTAGTGCTTTAGAAGGTCGAATGATTCCACAGCGCAGTTATATGGTAGGGAATGGTGACAATCAGTGAAATACGGTTAACTTGAGTTTTTTTTTTCGATTTGAAGCTTTTGAGCACGGTTTCTTCTAATTTGGAGCTAAGTTGAGAGCATTCAATGTCTATACTATTGTTTTTTTTTTTTATTGGGTGTCAAGCTGGAGTTGCGTGACAGCTTAGTTTTCAAGACTTGATCCATTTGAATAAATTTTGCTTCTATCGTTGACAATACAGCAGAATGACTAGCCTATGTTGGCCGCTTGAACACTGGATTTCGTCTGTATGGGGGCGACCCCGGCGTAGTGGTTAACATCCATGCCTCTCACGCCAAAGTCACGAGTTCAAATCTCACCCCCGGACAAGTCATGAATAACCCAAGAGTGTTAAAGTGACTATAATAACAAAAAAAAAAAAAAAAAAAAAAAAAAAAAAAAAAAAAAATTTCGTCTGCATTGTTTCAAGATAGTTATAGAAAAAATGCTGTGAAGTGTGAGCGTAGATACATCCGCGTAGTAAACCGATTGCATAAGTAAATCCGTTTCGAACGAAATATCTAAATTATGTAAGTTACGAAAACCGCGCGAATTCCGAAAGCCGTACGAGACAACCGAAGCGAGAAAAAAGGTCTATTATCATTTAAAGAGTGCCACCAAAATAAATGTGATAGCCTATGTTGGCAAGTTGATTAATTTTGGTTTCCTCCCTAGATATTTTACTTATTTACTACTGAGCTTTGTATCAATTTAGTTAATTTAAAGATCGTATAAATCATTTCAAGATTTCGCGACCGCACCGAAAAAATTCTATACTACATAAGCTCAAAAGCGTTTGACAAGCTCTATCGAATTGCGTATCACTTCTGCGTAAGCTCCGTAGACGTAGGCGCGTTGAATCCGACAATCGGCAAAGGTTTAACCTGTACCAACACCGCTTATGGAACGACCTCGAGTTAGTAAAACCGTTTAGAGCTAAACATCTAAATTACGTAAGATACGAAAATCGCGCAAATTGTGAACGCCTCGCGAAATAACCGTAGAGAAAAAACAGCTTATTATCACTTAAAGAGTGCCACCAAAATAAATGTGATAGCCTATGTTGGCAAGTTGATTAATTTTGGTTTCCTCCCTAAATATTCTACTTATTTTACTGTTGAACTTTGTTTCAAATTAGTTATTTTACCACACGTATCAATCATTTCAAGATTTCGCGACCGTACCGAACAAATTCTATACTATAGAAGCTCAAAAAAACGTTTGATGAGCTCTACCGCATTGGGAATCACTTCTGCGTAAGCTCCATAGACGTAGGCGCGTTGATTCCGACAGCCGCGAAAAGTTAAACATGCATCAATACCACATAAGGAAAGATCGATTTTACGGTCACGTAAGGTTTAGTTCATAGATTAACATTGACTCCTGTTTACAAATGTAAGTACTTGATCACTAAGAAATAAGTTAACTAAAATGCTTTAACCGCATATATAAGAGATTTCGCGTATTGAGAGAATAATATAGTAATCGAGTACAACAAACTCAGGGGAATACAATACCTCCTAAAGTTTAAAAGTTATTAATTGTCACATACTTCTACTTTTACTTATTTCCTAAATTATTCCTCTCCTTGTTAATTTGTTTAATGCTATTGGTATGCTTGCGTTTTCTTATTAAAGTTCAAGACTAAATAAGAAGATTTATTCTACAGCTTTAAAAAAAAGTTGCCTCCCTAAGCGGACCTAGTCTAATTTAATAAATTATTAAAAGCTCTAATTCTCCTTATCTATCATAGCCCATGCTTTATTAAGTACCTGCACTTGTGTTTGTATTCTAAAATTAAACGTGTTTCAAGTACTTTTGATTTTGGCCGATTCCTATTTATTATATCTTAGTTCGACCCAGGTAACACCTTCATGTGACTAAATGCTTCATTTTGAAGTTAGTTTCCTAGCTGATTTTTAAATTATATAAGGTATATGCTCCAACTATGCTCACACGCTTCCACTATGTCGCACCACAAAAATACGTATGGATATGTCACAATAGAAGCACGCCACAGTGGAAATCCCGAGCCATAGTTCAAACACTTATTCCCAAATCAAAATGAAGCACATATAAGATTAGTTACAGTACCATGTACAAAAATAATGCTTAACATTGTTTCCTGAGAAATACTTCAATGAAAACAATAATGAAAATTTGTCACGCAAATAGAAGGAGCACCGTTGGGCACTTTCTGAAATATTTCAATAGTATAATTCCCTTGCAAACCCAAATAAATCTATCTGCGTAAAAAAAAAATAAAATAAGAGTGATTTGCGGCAAAACCCGCAAACTCCGATTCAAACCACAATTGGTGGAATAGCTTATTATGGACCAATATTGAAAAACGCAAAGTCTTAAGCCATTAGGCCACCCCCGCCGCTGGAGACCACCTCCTCTTTTGCCGATTCCTAATAAACACCAGTTTTCAATGTTCTACATATATTATATCTCTGGCACCACTAAAGATACAGACGGCATGGGAACCGTTTTAGAAAGGGTTTTGGACGTACAATCGAATGGTATGAACAGATTTTTCTCCAGTGTTGCCAATTTTGTGATTTTCGCATATGAAAACTTTAAATACAAATATCTCGAAATGCCCCTACTTTTGTTTTAATATGATGAGGCCAAAATGTTCAGCGGAGTTTTTAGAATCACCTATTGACAGAAAAACAACAACATTTTCCATTTAAACGATGTTGAGTTTTAAAGATAACATGTTTTATTTTTATTTTTTTCGTTTACTTCGAAATGTTTCGGTATAGCAAGAAAGCCGTTAAAAACGGCGAAATCTACAGCTTTACAAAAAATCTGAACCTTCCAACTTTCAATCAAACCGAATGCAAACATGTGATTTGTTGTCCAGTGTTGCCAACTCTGCGTTTTTGGAGTTGAAATCATTAAATGAAAATGTTCTTAAATACCCCTGCTTTTTTCGATTTTCAACGACGCCCAAATGAACAGCAGGCTATTTAACATATAACTCACTTATCGACAGATAGTTTTAAAATAAAATTCATAGTACCAAATGGTTTAGTTAAAGAGTGTTGGTATTTTCTATCATTTATTGGATATGTATTTATTACATACATAAGTTTATTTCTTCCTTCGATTCGTCTTCGGCTTACGTGATGAATTTTGGCTAGGCTTTGAAGTTATGTATTTTGTAACTTAAACTTATTACTGAACATGAAACCGTTTTCATAAAAAACCGTTCCGTCGGTTGTAGGAGTTGCCGAATGCATCCCGCGAATTCCAGGTTTAGATCGTGCCAAACCGAATCTGGTTTCTAAATCCTTCTTTACTTCACTGCATTGCTCTGATGTTACAAATTGGACAATCAGGTTACAATTTGAAAGTACCCATTCTTTTGACGTTTGTATAGTTGTGCACTCAGCTGGAATCCCGAACTCTTCTTCATGGAAGAGCAAGTTTGTCATATTGAATCGGTTTTTATACTGTGAATCAGCACCGTCAGAAAAGTATACAATTTTTGTTAATTTTGGGAACCGATATTACACAAACTCTACAATCTGTCTCTGGAAAGCGAGGAAGATACCTGTGCTATGCTCAAGAACGTTGGAGATCATGATACAGTTTAAAGGAACAACCATTTCTCTATCCAAAAAATTGGCGGCAAATGGGTGGACGGTTGCCTGCAGTTTATTGTAGTGAACCCCTTGTAACGAATAATTTTTGGAAAAGTCAGCCACAACAAGAACTTCTCCTTCGTGCAAGTTGTCCCGAGTAAACTGATAGAACTCTGTTTGCCTTGCTACTATGTAGTCGTGTTTTCGAACATCTGGCACTGCTTCTATAAATGTTTCAACAAAAGTTTCAGCATCCCTAACTTTCGTTTCCAAGCTGCGTCCATTGCTTGTACGTAATTTTCTCGATGGAGTTGGCACCCAAATACCACCAAATCAAGCTTCTTATCGAATCCAAATCGCCACAAGCTTTGTTGGAAAAAGTATTCAAAATTCACGCCTCCGTAGATGGATCATAGAGGTTCTGCTCCAGGACGTCTCTCTGTAGAATATTCTCTGCAGTCCGCAAATCGCACCGTATACTCCATAATTTGTGCCACGTAGAGCCAGACTTAGCATAAGGTTATTACGAAGCGGTCGGGGTTGAACATTCAGGTAAATTTTCCTCAGGATAGCCTCGCAATCTGTCCTACCTGGCAGGATATCGGCCACGGTTAGGGCTCTGCTCGTGTCTCTTCTAGTCCAGAGAAAATATAGGTCGATAAGCTGACAACGGCTTTCGTAACTTGGT